CGTGTTTTCCCAACATCGCAGGTGGGTTATCACGCCGGTAAACCCAAATTAAATAAAGTGTGGTCTATTGCTTTTATAAAATAAAGAGTTCACCGGCACAATAAACCATAGGGTTCTAACCAATCAGAACGCGCGTACTATCTTCGTTATTTTATAATAAGCAATAGACCACACTTTCTATAGGTTTACCGGCGTGATAACCCACGCGGGATGCTGGGAGAACACGAAAAAAGCTTGTAAATCACGAGTCGGGTGAGTGATTTACAAACTTTTCCCCCTACTGTCGCTCAGGCCCCTCAGGTAAAGTCAACAGAACTGACAGGATAAATCAGTCACTGAACCCACTATAAATTTAGCAGTCCTTTTTCTCCGAATTCACCATTCTGCAATAATAACTAGAATGACAAAGCAAATGTTAGAAGCATCTGTATTTGTAGCATAAGTGCGATAGACTCAAAATATTTTTAAAATCTTATGTTTTAAGCCTAGCCTTCCCGCTTAGTTTCGTCAAATTTAATATATACAGGGTGTCCCAAAAGTTCTTTCCTCTAATTTCATGCTCGATAACTTTCGATCAAAACTTTATTTTTTTCATGAAATTTCTCGAAGATGTTTATTTCTCTATCGAGTACATTTATTCCGAATTTCAGTAAATGTCATGCCCTTTTTGTTTTTTTTTTTATCACATTCTGCATCCGTTGCGGCATGGTGCGGGATACAGCGTGTAGACCCTCAGATGATCCTTTTTCAGCTTTTTTATCACCTGGTGCGCAGGAGCCAGTTCAACACCAAAACAATATTTGTTTAGTTTAGGCAGCTGAAAAAAAAGTATTTTGGACATTCATCCAAAATAGATAATCATCCCGGCCCCCTTTCACAGCAAGGCTTTTGCAATTCTTTACAAATCTGAGACGAGCTGGAAATTACTTGGCAGACTAAGCAGATCGTTTTTATCCGTCATCTCAGTCGCCTCTAATTTTAAACATTCGCTTTTCATGACCCTTTCTGGACTTAGCTTGCTAAACATGTGAGAGCTTCCTCGTCGAGTCTCCTATTTTGTATCTAGCCTTCTTTAAAACTATTTTAACTACTTTATTCAGGACTTTTGGTCTTCCCCTTCGTTTCGTGCTCTCAAAACTTTCATTTCTCCATGATTATTTTACCACCTGCCGTTCGGATTTTTCCAGTTTTTTTAGCAGTTTCTACAACAGACAAGCCAGTAAATCGAAGTATACTTGCTTGTTCTCTCACGCAGCTGAACGTTTTTGCTTTATGGGGGTTTATTTTTCGTGAAATTCACAAAAAAAAACAAGGAAGGAGTTCGAACAATTCGGGCTATAAAATACAAAATTATGTGACTGGAAAATATACCCGCGCACGCGCACCTTGGGCGCGGATGTACACAGATCGAACATTCGAGTCAAAAGGTGGCACAAAAAGCATGAAAACAGTGTATTAGATTGAAAGACACAACTTTTGACCAAACGATTTGCTTACCAAGTCCAATCGTACTGAAATACAGACTTTTAAAGTAGAGGAACGAACTTTTGGGACACCCTGTAAAGCTATCTAACAGTGAAGAGGGTCCCATCTCTATTTAAATTCTGGCGTTTTGTAGAAGACCGTTATGATTTCCATGTTAAAAGCGCCTTGAGAGGGATCTGAATAACGGCCTTCTTTTTTGCGGGCGTCTGATTGACTACTTTAACTAAGACGAAGTATCTAAAAAATTCAGTCTCGCTCCAATGAACCATTCATAGTTTGTAAATAACTCAACACTATTTGTCTACAGGAATCATACTCCAAAATAGCTTTCAGTCTTTAGCTAGTAAAGTAATCAAACAACTTATCACTAGAACTTACATTTCGGATTAGCTTTTGGTTGAAAAATTATGAAGCTGGCTTTTTTTGCAGCTTTATTCCGTACGTGACTAGACGAACCTGGGATCTGACGGCCAGGCCTTTTCCCCCTATTTTCTTGCCGGCCCTGCAATACATGATATCGGAACTAAGCTAGTAAAGTGACTGAACCACTAAAAACTTATTCTAGAAAAGTTGGAACAAATGTCGAACAACAACTGATTTTTGCTTTACATGCTTCACTTGCCTGATAAAAATAAAACAAAGGAAAGCCTTTTAGCGTTCAAAACCCGCCCACCGAAGTTAGTTTTTTGGTTGCTAATCATGACTAATGTCTTGGGGCTATAAAGCCGAGAGCGTGAACAGGAAAACAGCTTCACGGTCTGTAAGCACTTAAAAATTGATTCCGTATTGGCTAGCCAATATAAAGGAAAGGTAACGAATTCATTTATGCATCAGAAGTTTTTTTTTCCCGTTTTGTGAAATGCATGCCGCACTGTGTATATATTTCGTGGTACTGTTAGAAGCTGTCACGCCTGGTTTGGGATGTCAGCGTTCTAACCGGGCATAAGCCTGTTCTAATTGTTCTTCAGCCTGAGGACAGAAAGCTCAATTCCTTTAAAGAATATTTCACGCTGAATGAGACCGTTTGTCCCAACTTCAAGAAACGGTAAGCACTATTTGGGTTTGTTTTCCTTGTTATAATACTCAAAAGTCAAGAGAACAAAAGTATCAGCATCAAGACCGCTCAGGAACAGATGATCACGTAGCGGTTTTAGCGGCCTTAACCTCAAGATTACTTTCTATTTGTCACAATGTTTTCAAAATGTAAAAATATATTGTTTGCAGAATCTTTTTAATGTGGCAGCAAATTGAGGTTCATAGCAGTAAACACTGAAAGTATTGAAACTTGGGTCCATTTACAACAGGAATACAAATTCAATAAACTCGACAAGCGAAGCGTAAAAAACATTTTGCTTGGGTAGCTTGTGTGAATGCATCAGTTATACAAGGTACACTGATTTCCACAATACTTTTTTTTTTATTACAATAACACAGTTCGAAAAGCACCATAGCTAAAAGAAAGGTCGTCAGAGCCCTTTTTTTAAAAAGAAATCTGAGTAATTTTTACCCAAAACGGCGCGTGTTCACCCAGGCAGTAATAATGACTATCCTTTTCTTAAACTTGTTATAGGCGCGTATTAGTGCCGCAATATATACGTGCAATGCTTTTAATTCGATTTTTTTTTACTGAGATCGAAGCAAGATTTTTATGCTTCTACGTTATAGTGAATCGTAATAACTTAAAATAAGAAAGTTTTAAAGTAAAAGCTAAACAAATTTAAGTGCGTGCAACCGGCTATAGTGGGATCCATTATGAATGACTGATCTGTTGTTGATGTTTGCACCCTTAATTAGCATTCTCTTGGCTCGACAATGCAAGCCGTTCTACCCTATTAATTTCCAGTTTTTTCATTATTTTTTCATGCAGTGTGAAGTTATGACAACACTGACTGTAATACAGTGATAGTCAACGTACAAATCATGCAAATGATAGATACAAATTGTTAAAGAGTTGTAAACTAAAAACTAAACTATGAATTGGACGTTGCTAGAGCCAGTCCAAGTCAAGGGCGGCCTGCATCCGCTCCCTGTTGGCATGGCCGGACATATGAAAATCTCGCCTCATTCGGATCTAGATCTTATTGAATGTACACTACGGTTATAACTCTGACAGTCTTGGCGAGTTATTACATTGGTGCATTTAATAATAAATGTTAACTTTTATTTATTTGAATGTTGGTATTTGCGTCGAGATAGAAGCTGGTCTCTAATATAATTATATAGTGGATTTCAGTGGAACTCTGGCAATATCTACAATCATTTATCGTGCTTGGATATCAAATCAGTGGTTACTCCTAAAAATACACTATGACAGATTCTCGTAGAATCTCTCTAACGTTATCTTTAAAAACGTTCACAATTTAAATGTTTAAGTAAATATTACACTGAATCAAAACTCATTTCTAAAAACAACCTCCTATACAACTGCCCTCACCCCCCCACAAACAGTTAGTCCACCCCTGAATTCAGGGGCTTTTGCCCATTTAATTATCATGACCAAATAACGATAGGTAAATTTCAGAGTTCGTTTTCAATTATAACACAAACCGGCTACAACTAAATATGATATATCGGTGTGTAATTATCTTTTGAATTTGAAGCTAGACGCACCCGTGCGCGCTCTTTACTTTTGACGCAGTTCCGCGAGCAGTTTCCTCTGTTCGCTTTGTTTTGACAGTAACTCAAAGAACTATTGAAAAAGAGCTATGATAGGCTATCAAATAAATCTAGAGATCCGATATTACTTAAAGAGGCAAGATTATGCTAAAACGACGCCGAGTAATGTGCGCTGATATTATTGGCGCAAATTCTTAATTGGCCAGCAGTCAAATGTCAAACTTTTTATGTATCGACTCTAATATCTGTTTGGGTAGGCCAAATAATTAAGTTCGACTGTTGGTGGAATCAAACGATTCGGCTCGGCCATGAGAAAATCATCATCTTCATCATCGTCATCATCATCATTATGTGATCGTTTATCAGAACTAAATAAATGTCTGAACCGAGGCTCACATAGTTCTGATTCTGTGTGCGATAAAATTTCGTTTGCAGTCAAAACAATCTTATGGTCATTTTCTTGTTTAACAGGAACATTTAACGAGAAAAGTAACGTTATTCGATGTTCAGATGTTTCTAGTCAAAAACCTTTTTAGCCTATTTATTTGACAACATTTCCTTCTGTTTTCTCTATGCCATATTTTCAGTCCTGCAGCACGTTTTTTTTAATGGTACCGAAACAGAAAAATAGAAAAACCAGACCGCACCACTGACGGTACGTCCGACTTTAACCAAAGGTTTAACCGTTATTTCAATTTTTTGTCTGTCGTTCATTTTCCGCAAGTCCATTCCTGCGTTCCCTCACTTTTTTATACCACGTGACTTTCCTTGGCGACGCGCTGATTCCTTGTTGATGGTCAGCTGCATGGCGAGTTAAAGATTGCTCTTTTTGGTTGCGAATCTTGCGATCGTTAGAGTTTCACCAATTTGCTTACAATGTGGACAGGAGAAAACACTTGATGCCAGCCATCACTTCATTACCGCAAGCCGCACAGACGGCGAGCAAACTTACCTACGCGTTTGCACCTTCGCCTCTGAAAGCCCCAAATAACATTCCATCGCTGCCCGCCATTCCTCCACAAATCGGTTCGATATCCAGGACATATCGATCAAGAATTCCAGCTAAATTAGCCACCGTTAGCCTGGTTGGGAGGTGAGTGTCTTTGAATTTCGTCTGATTTTTTACAAAGAGGCATGCTGTCCGTTTTCATTTTTTACAGTTATGAACTTTCTATTCAGCTCACAATGATACACAATTCGTTGAATACAATTCTTCACACAAGTCTTGTTACTTAATAACCTCTAATGTTGCCATTTATAGGAGAGATCGTTCTAAAAATGCCCCAAGTGTCTTTTTAGAAGAAAAGCAAGGTGAAACTTTTGCAAGTAAGTCTCCAGTTTAACCTTTTCAATGTGCTAATGTTCAGCTGTAGTATTAGTATTAAAAACAGACCATGTTTTACACTGGTACAGACTCTTTTAACCACATGTGAGCGTGTAATATTTAACTATAATGGTCAGTTTTAAAGCTTTTTTACTTAGCTGTGGGCATGTAAACTTAAGTTGGTGTAATTTTTTATTTAGTCTTCACCATTACAATGTATGAACTGAATGAAGTTATTAATTAATTCTTTGTACCAGTGTTAATTAAAATCTAAGTATGAGATTATGGGATAATTATTGGAATATAATCATTGGCGGATTCAGATAATCAACCAAGTGGGGGATCTCTTGTCAAGACCCTGAGAATTAAAAGCTAAGAGGAGGCCCAGCTTCAAAAATAACTTTTCTCAGCCCTGTGGGCTCCAGCATGGTCTAAAAATAAGGAGGGGGCCTGCCCTACTTCAGGCCCTCTGCTAGATGTGCCTATGATCATATTCTCTGTGCTGGTAAAAGTGGAAGTGTGTGGAAAAACTTATTGTCATGCACTGTAGGTGTGGTTTTAGATTGCTCTGTAACTATATGCCAGGAAAAACATATGGCATGAATATTCCTTGTCAGCTGTGTGAAACTACTCAAACTAACTGAATCAACTTAAATCAAAGCGGCTTGTATCAAAATGACTTTGTATTTCCAAATTCCAATTCGACCAGGAATCAGGTAGATGAAGAACCACTTTGTGGATGTGCTACCTCCAAATCATTATTTATTTTAGTTATATTTATTTATGTATGAAAACAACCAGCATCGGAAGCATTACTGGATACAATTTTCAAAGTACTGTGTGTCAGGCAGGGATACACCTTCTTCAAGTTGGATTATTTTATTTTATATAAATACAGTGATGCAGATGCATGTACATGTACTAGCATAGATTATTGAATGATGTTTGATTTGTTATGATTACAAACTTCTCCAGGCCTAGAGGAGTGCATGCAGTCACGGCCACCATTACAACTAGACTTAACTGGTCCAAAGCCGACAACTTATGACCCCCCAGCGACCCTACCATGGGAAACATCTTCACCAAGTTACACGATGCGACCCAAGACTCAGCCAGAGAGAGGTAAAGCTACAACAGTTCATATGCTGACTGACAAATATGGGGAACAAAGGTGGCGCAGTGGTGAGAGCACTTGCCTACCACCAATGTGGCCCAGGCTCAAATCCTGGTGTCAACACCATAATTATGTGGGTTGAGTTTGTTGTTGGTTCTCTCCTTTGCTCCGAGAGGTTTTTCTCTTGGTACCCCAGTTTTCCCCTCTCCTCAAAAACCAACATTTCCCCCAATTTGACCAGGAATGGTGGACGAAGAACCACTATCTGGGTGGGCTACCTCTAAATTTATTGTTGCTATTATTATTATTATTGACTTTTTTTACCCATGCCCTGGTTTTATTTTACACATTCCTAAAGTACAAGAACAGATTTTATATCTGTTCTAAATATGTACATATTCAAGAGTGTACGAAACATTTTGATTTTGCAGAAAAATCACTTCCCATTTATACAATACTTAGAATACAATCTAATGCTTCAATGCTAACCCAAAATGTTAAGCAACATAGCTACAGTTGAACCTCTCTACAACAGCCACCTTGGGAATGGCAGAAAGTGGCCATTGTAAAAGATGGCTGTTGTAGAGAGTTTTTAAACAAGGGTCAATGTGCGGATTTTTTGTCCGCCGGGACGAAAAAAGGTGGCCGTTGTAGAGAGGTGACCATTGTAGAGAGGTGGCAGTTAGCAGAGGTTAGACTGTATTTCACATTAATTGAAAGCATTTTACCGTAGCTAGAGAGAATGAATCTGCTGTTCATGTCTTATTTATTGAAGATGAATTTGTCTTAAGTTTCTTTGAGAAACAAGTCGTTGACATGGAAGTCCCTTGAGAGTTAAGCAGTAGCCAATGAGATTCTGAGTTTAGTTTCCTCATGTTGAGGACTCAGCTAGAAATATTGACTCAGCAAATTACAATAGCAATTATTACTTGCCCACAATTTTTTTTACAAAGTTTATTTCTTTGCAGATCAAGGTGGTGACAGAGTTGCTTGGAGCAAACAGTGGATTGCCAGTCCGGATATCTGGACATACAGAGCTAACTTTGATAGTAGGGTAAGAACTTTTCCAAGAATGGTATTATTCCCCTTTTCATTTGATGATCCTTATTCTATGATAAGCTCTGTTACAATGCTGTCATCATTTTTCAACCACAGGAGTGGAGGGGACGTTCATCAAGATTTCTTCCCAAACCCTATGATTTGCCATCACTGTACTCTTTCCATGTAGATTGTAGTACTTTAGTTCTGTTCTTCTGTTAGTTTAGTGTTTGTGGAGGCTTTTGCAAGAGCAAATTATAATTCATCTTGTGAAATTACACATTCGGTAAATATACTTTGATTGTTATTCTTATTCGAAGGGCAATATTGGTTTGAACAGAATGTCTTTACCTTAACATGAAATTTTGACAAAAAATTGTCTTTAAGTCATTTGGGGCTGTTAGAGGCTAAAAGCACTGCAGCATTTATGGTTTATGTTTTTAAGATTTTATTAGTACACATAAATTCCATCAGTTCATAAAAGAAAATTAATTATGTAGCTGTAAAGGTGGTCGGTACTGATAATTATCTGTTTGTGAGGGTGTTTTCAATTAATTTGTTAATTTGTAGTCTCTTTGTTGTTAACAGTACACGTGGCCTTCACCAGCTCATTATTCATCAAGACCCACTGTTGGAAGCCCTCAGTTCCTTTTAAGCCAGTCACCATCACACACATTTGGCAAAAGAAGAGAATTCTCAATCAGCAAGAAAGGTGAAACATCACTATGACATTATGAGTCTTCATAGCCAATAACATCATGGCTTATTACTGACAGATGACCAATAAAATCACAGCTTAATTGACTAATCAGGTCAATAACCAGAGTAGCCTGCGTGGCTGGCGGAATTAGCAGGAGTGCTGAAGTTTTCTTGCAAAAATGCCCAAAGTCAAACTTCAACAAAAATTTTCAAATTTTTGCTTTTTTATTGTTTTACTTTGTAAAATGCAAAACACAGTCCTACTGGCTCTCTTGGCATGTTTACCTTTACTGTCACTTGTACTTGATACAGTGTAATCTTTCTCTTTTATTCCATAGGTTCAGAAGATGAACCAGCCCCAAACCAGTATGATTACAAGAAAGGCAAGGATCAGTCAATGAGAAGATCACCCTCATATACCATTCAACAAGGCAGGAGGGGTGGTACTGTGTTTTGGATGGCTAGAGGTTAGTTTACTTACAATGCAAAACTCAACTGTTTTGTCAAGCGCAGTATCTGTGAGTTGGTCAAGTCCAGCTGCTGAATGACTTCATATAGCCTGTTACAGTGGAACCACAATATAATGAACCTCTATGTAACTTAAGTTTGCGGCAAAACAAACGATTTTCTTTACCCCAGTAATAGTAAAACACATGGAAAAGAACCGTAATACAGTGTATAACAAACCCTCATAAACAGAAAACATTATGCTAGCCCCTTGGCCCTATGACTGTTGGGATGGACCATTAGAACAATTTTGGGTGTAGGGGTGGGAAATTTTTTAGCCGCCTGAATTTTTTTTCGTTATGATTTTCCTTGCATTAATGTTTTTTAGGGCTAATTGGTGTGCATGAATTTTTTCATTTAATTTTTCCTTGCACAAACTTTTTTTTTTGTTCTTCACCCCCCCACCCCATAAGTTTTCTAATGGTTCATCGCTTACATGTACATCAAGGATCCACTGTTAACTAGACCTCAAGCGGTCATCCTTCTTTCCTCTGAGCCATACGCAGCGAGCGAAAAAGTAAAATTATGCAATTATTAATGGAAAAAGGGGAAAATATATGTACAGTCTTGCAGTCTAACTGTTAACTTATTTTTTGTATCATTCACATAAAAATTATTATCCTCCCCCTTGGGATGCAAGGGTACTGAGTAAAGGGAAAAGGGCTAAAAATTGCAAGGAGGTGGCATTCTTCCTCAGCCAATATTCCAATTTTTCCCCACCAAGGTGCCTGCTACCAGGCTACACTGTTTGTGTCTGGCTGGTTTAAATTAATGGTAGACAGATACACAAATAGACAGATGCAATCTGGTAGGGCTGTCTGACAACAGTGGATCTGTCTGTTTTTTAGAGGTCAAGGGTTGGAGGTGGGGGTAGATGTATGGGAGGTTTATCTCTTTTATAAGCCACAGGGGGGTGTACATGTAGTACAAGACGTGCACCACCCCACAGGGTATGCATATTGATTTTGAGCTGTTTTTGTGCAGTATCGTTTCCCTTGTTTGAGGTACATGTACATGTAAAATTAACGTTCTTAAATTCGTACAATTTTGTAGGTAAGTTTATCTATTAACTTACACAGCTTTGTTGTAACTTTCAACAGAGCCCGTGCCAGGTCCAGGGTCGTATAATCCACGGGTGTATCGCACAAGCAGCAAGCGCTGTGCTCCTTCCTTCTCACTGTCAAGGTCACCCAGAGAGATAGGAATCACAAGGAACTGTACATTCTAAAGTAACAAACATGATCTCCAAGTCGTGGTCATAAAGCTGTGTGAACTTCAGACTACATTTGAGGGTTTGCCTGGATATCAAAGACAACGTAAAGAGAATTTAACCACTCCGAGAGTGTTGTGTTGTGGAGCCAAATTGTCAGGGATGTTTTTGGGGGAAGTTTGTCACGCAATCCTCTGCCAAAAACATACAAGAGATGTACGATTTGTTTGTTAGAGGTTGTAAAAGTTCTATTTTTTAATAAGAGGTTAATGAACTTTGTTTAGATAAAGTGTGTACAAATATTTATGTAATATTTTCTATATCTTGAATATTATGTATGTTTTTACTTGTAAAGTGTGAGAAGGCGAAATTAGAAGGAAATTGAATAAAAGTTTTATCAAATTAAGGCCTGAAAGTTGGCATTTGTTTGATGAATACCCACTGGTTTCCACCTTTTAGTGCTATTCTGTTCATAGCTCTTGATGCATGAACCTCTGTGAAATTACGTGTACATACGTACGCATAAAATGTATAACATGTTTGAGTATGTTCATTGAGACAGTTTAAATATGAAGTTATTGTTGTATTTGGTTATTGTTCCAAGCGTTTTTTTGCTGCCTTAGCTCTTCTACTCTCTATTTAGCCGGGTGTTAAGTTTTTTTTAAAAGTTTTTGTGTTTACGATGCAGTTTCGCTCAGGTGGAAAAAGTCGGTTCTTCAGCTATTTCTGCCACTGTTCCCATAACAACATTAAGCTTGGCTTCTCTCTGCCCGTTACAGTCCAGTAAACATAAACAAACGTTTAATTGTGTACCTTAATAATATCCGTTGAAACCCTGACAAGTGACGCGTAAATTCCAATTAAATATAGGGCGTCATATCAATACAATCATTCCAAACTTTAGGACACTAGTCGAAAAAAAGAACAATTTTACGGTATAACGTACTCTTAAGCATGAACAACGAATACAGTAAGTAGCGATGACCCTAAATCCCCTTTAAAAAGATTAGTTCCTTTAAGTCGGAAGCGCTAAATCGCTTAAAACTTCGTGACGTTATACAGCCCGGGGTTACAAAAGGTCATGATAATTTCATATCGTATTTAGAGCGGCTGTCTGCGGAAACAACGAGCCCTGATTTTAAATGTAGCGTCCTTTTCATTGGGCATAAACTGCAGTTTGTTTACGCAGGGTCATTCCGTTTGAAATTTGCAGGATTGAAATAACCGGAGTTAAGAGGAATCAAGGCATCTCGCTCAAGAAACATAATCAAGTGTCTTTTTGAAGCTCCAGAAGTATCCCTTGCAGTGGAGATGGGTTGACCGTTGGAGTATTGTTTCGATCGTAGCTGAGAGCGCTTTTTGGCTGTTGGCTCATTCCGATACACAGATCGCGTGGGACTGAATTAGGCTGTTGCGTTCCAATAAAAGATGTCTCTGAAGAACCGAAAAGTACTAAATAGAGTTTTTTAGGTAAGTTTTGACTTTTTTTCCTTGGCAAGCAGGATTTCTGTGTATAAACCGCTTTTTGAATTGTTGTCACGTTATAGATGTTGTTGATCCGATGTAAAAGCAATTGAAATCCTAGGAGCTCCTAGTGGCACGAAGAACTTTGGGGTGCATTGGGTATTATTTTCGCTATTTTGATACATAACAGTTCACCCTATTTTTAATTTATTTAAATACTCAGTTTGCTCCCCCTGTACTTCCCAAAATTTTTTACGAGGTTGTTTTACTTGCATGCTCTTTAAACAAAATGATACTAGTACGTTTTAAAAATATTGTTATGCATTATTTTGCTTATTTAAAATTCAACAGTGACAGGTTTCTGTTTTTGAGTTATCTGTTTTAAAACTTAAAAAATCGACTCAGGTCGTGTTTATAGTTAGGAACTTCAATTTGTTAACGGACATTTTCTCCATAAAATAAGTATTGTTATTATTTAATTGAGTAATGCTTGATTACAAAGCATAGTATGGGCAAAAAGAATTTTCTCTTAGGAAAACTTCTATTAATTTTTTTTTTGTGAGTAGCCGCATTATCCCACCCTGTTATTTTACTCTTCACCGCAGCCTGTTGACTAAATGAGTTCTTTTCATTTTTCCACTTGGCCAACCCCATATTTTAAATATTGGCCCTAATATTCTTTCCGTGCAGGAAAATGATTCGTTATCCGTCGAGTAGTTTGGAATTACTTTCCTAAACCGAAAATGCCAAAAAAAACTTATGGGGAAAACACCCAGATTATAATCTCTTTTGGCAGGGAAAACCGGTTAGAACCAAACTTTTTGCGATTACACAAGATAGCAAGTTTTTCTGATCGGACAGTAGTTTCTCCCAACCCCCATCTGATGATAAAATTTTTAAGGGTCACTTCAATATGGTTCTTTTGGTTTGTTTTTCTTCTGAAAGTTTGTTTGGGAAAATTGGGCCCAATTCCAACAGTAAATGGCCCCACGAAAATCGTTTCTTCAGTTGCAATCGGGCTGTATGACCTACGTATTGCCGTAAACTTCCGAAAGTAGCGATGACTTTCCGAAAAAAACTATCTTACGAAAGTGGCGATGATAAAGGTATCTTCCCAGTTTCAGCCTTTTTCAGTCAGAAGAACGTACATGATAGATATAAAACTGAAGTGACTTTTACTTTTAATGACTATTACCGACTATAATGATATCTGAGGTTTTTTTTCAAAAATCAATAACATAACATATTTTCAGAAAGTATTCATGACGTCTCTGAATATTCGTTGCATACGTGGTGGGAATAACCAAAGCCTTTTCGTCAGGCAGCAAAATTTGGGTCTTTCACATATGTTGCGATTTTATTATCTGCAAACAGTCAAGGTAGACATTTTAGCTGGCCGGAAGTAGCGAAATGGTAGGGAGGGGAAGGCTGCTACATCAGGAAGCGAAGGTCGTCAATTTCGCAATTTTACCTGTGGTAGCTTAAAAGCTTCAATTTTTGATGTATGGTTAGTCTCTGCTCTACTTCGCTGGCAGGGCAGGGCTAGGTTGACGTGATAACGCTAAAATATTTGCACACGCAAACCATTCTTTTCCTGCAATTCCGAGAAATTTTAAAATGATATAAAGGGAAAATTTCGGCACAAGGAAACTATACTCGAATACGTGTGAAATGCAACGTTGATGTCCTAAAAAAGAGGATGGAAGGGAGTTGCAGCTGGAGCGGGGCGTTTACAAATGACCATCGCCGGTTCAAGTTGATACCTGAGGTCAACAACTATTTTTCCCTATTAAATACTGTTAACGGCGGCATATGAGTAACGGCAAGTAATTCTGATAAGGTTCTGCGAAATACTTGTAACAGACAAAAAAAGATTGAGAAGATTTGAAGGATTAAAAAGGATTAAGCTGATTAAACTCATGGCGCTGTCCCTGGGCGGAACTAAGATTTGATGGGGTTAAGACGGTGAGGAGGGAGTTCACTTGTAGCTGACCTGAACAACGGTATTTGAGGTAAGAAGATTGAAAATGTGTTTCGGGTAAGAAGAGGAAGTTTACGGGAACTCGAGGACCCCCACCCCCAACCCCCTGAAAGGACGTCCACCCTGCCTAGCCTCCTATCGATGCCGTACCCGTAAAAGAACCACTTCAAGTCACGCGCGTGAAATGCGTGACCTGTAATTCTGAGAATTCTGAATCATGCAATATTTTAAGACCAGGTCACGAGTTCTAAAAGGTGCTATAATTGTGGCATGTTCTGCCCAATCCTGCACGCTTTAAGCTACAAGGAAATATGCATACTCAGGCAAAGAATCTCTTTTCGCTGTGAGGAGTACTTTACCTGCTCAAGGGTTGTCCTTATGTCTAATCGAAAGAAAATCGTCATTTGCTTTTCTCTGCAGGAGTTGAAAACAAGGTTGTTTTGCCAAGGATGTCAATAGCAGCATGGATAGTAGCCTACGTGCTTCTAGGCCTACTGCTTATCATAACACTCGTGTACGTTGGTGTTTTGGTTATGAGAGCATATACCATTCGAAAAGAAAATCGAATGAAAGCTTCAAACTACGGCTTCATCCTCTCGCCACCTCCGTCTGAAACTTCGGGAACCGACACCCCTCCGAGTCCTAAGCGATTGGAAGCTTCGGTCAAACCCCCAAGCGAGGCTCCTTTTTCTGGTAAGAACTCGTCCTTGCAGAGGTAAATGTTATATTTTGCTCTTTTTTCGCTGGCAAAATATATGGCAAAACTCATCAAAGGCCAGGAACAAATAGAAACTAAACTCGTTCCCAGGAACAAGCTCATTAAGCCTGTTTTCGGCTACCCCTTCTTCTTAGGAGAACTAGCCTGCGAAAGCAGCCGCTCGTCCCCAGCGGCGAGGAGCGAAGAGGAGCGGCTGCTTTCGCAGGCTACAGGAGAACCCAAAGAAGGAGGTACGTCCCCGTTTTTCTTAGGGGAGGGGGCAGATTTACAGAAGGTAATTTCACTTGTCAACGCAGCGACCTTTCCCCCATACGACCACCCCTCTTCGGCGACCTCTTTGTCATTAACTTGCCTGTCTACAGACGTTTTTTCGACGAATTTTGCGAACGCGGAGCTAGAGAAATCACACCACCCCCTTGCGCCGGCGGTCAATAAATTCCCCGCGTATTTTTTTTTTATACGCGCGCCCAACGATTTCTAAAACAAAGTAGGGGTCTTTTGGCAGACCTATGTCATGAAAACTAAATTCTTACTACGTTATGTACCAGACCAAGCGATTATGATCTCTTGACCAGACCAGTTTTGTTTTATTCTCACGTTGTTTTTCTTTTTAGTTGGTGACATGCGCGAAATTCGTATCCAGCCCCTTCTCATCAGACGTTCCATTGACTTCCCTTCACCCCTGAGTCCCAGCTCTCCTAGGACACCCAATACTCCGGGATTCTTTGAGGACCTCGGAAGCCTGGATCCTAGTCTTTACACAATGGTTGCAGAGGTACGTCTAACTGGAGTACTGTTCGAGTATTTAGTGATGATCCAGGGTAAAACCAGTAGCAAGGATCAAACACAGCCTTATCATCCTCCGTGTGTCTAGTTGGTTTAGTGGTTCCGTCGAATTTTTTATATTTTTAATGCCTAATTTAGTCGCTACGCTATTTTTTATGACAAGCAAAACTTGAAAACACTGCTAGTGCATCAGTACATGTGGCGCTCGAGGGAGGAGGAAAAGAAACGCCTGCAATAACGCTATTGTTTACCCTGTCCGCCCCTCGTTAAGGGACCAGCATCTGCGCTTAAACAAAGAAACAGACAAACAGTGCAAACACAATAGTATTCTTGTTCCTATTTCCTTCTTTCCCTTCCCCTACAAACGCCTTCCATGCATGCACTCTAGTGCCTTAGTTGCTAAATTCAACTATGACGTAAATTTAGCAAGCACAGTATCTCTTTGGGCCGAGTTGCGGAAAAGACTATTATTGCACATCCTGGGGTAGTTTCCATGATGACTTATATGCCTCGATTGCAGTTAACCCGGGATTACAGTTGACTGCAAAACAGCCCGTATTTTTGAGAAGGTTAAGAACGCTTGCGCGAGCGGCCAAACGAATAGTCAGGGGGCGAGGGTGAAAACAGAGAGTGAGACTGGGGAGAGACGCGAAAAATACGTTTATTTTTCTTTCGGGCAAGTAGGGCTCGAGCGCTCTGCGCGAAAATCTCACATTGGCTCTTTTCGCCTTTGCAGTCCAGGATCACAGATAAACTCGGCATAATAATCTCTATCTCTGTAGTTTTTTAAAAGCCAAGTCGCTTTAGTAACCTTCTTTTACATATTGACATTTAAAGACCTGTTTTTATACAGGAGGATGAAGAGCCCCCTACTCCTGGTGCCCCAGATGGCCGCTCTTCGCCGTACAATCTTGGTCAAGCTCATTTTATAGTCAAGTTTGATCAGCATCGCTCAGTGCTCACTGTAAGACTAGTCAAGGCCCTTAACCTGTCTCCAATGGAAAAAGAATGGAGCAAACCATGTAATCCGTATGTTATAGTACAACTTCTTCCCGATTACCGGCACCAGTTGCAGTCCACTGTGCATAGGAAAACCACAAACCCTCGCTTCGATGAAACGTTTGAATTTGAGGTAAGATTGAGGCGCACTTCTGCGTAGCCTGTAAACAGACTTTGTATTCTTTTTCTTTTTGAAAATCGATGAAAACGTGAGCGAAGCGAGCGCGCAAGAGAGGGAAATTAATTTTCTCCTTTCCCCTCTCCACGCCCTTGCGCCAGAGGTCAATAAACCCCCCGCGGTTTTTATTTTCGTACGCGGACTCGACGACCTCTAAAAAAAAAAATAGAGGGTCTGTGAACGGGATAACTTCTGCCCAATGAGGCCTCTACTAATGAGAATTGACTGAAAATAATGTCTGTCTTAAGATTTGCAGAGGTAGAGATTGTTTGAAGTTTTGTACTCAGTTTGGAATCCAGAGGTGTAACGAAGAGGACTTTCGACTATGCCAAGCGCGCACTAGTTTTGCCTGCCATTTTTAACAAACTATTCATAATCTTTTTTGTAAGAAAACATAGCATTCAATAACCTTACTTTCTTTTTACTTTTTAAAAAGTTATCGTACAAGGAGCTCCAAGTTCAAACGCTATGGCTTACGTTTCTCTCATTTGATTCGTCGTCGCGTCACGAGGTGATTGGACAAGTGGTTTTACCATTAGCGGACTTGGATCTGGCCAATGAAAATGTCTTTAGAACTGATATCAGACCGAGTCTTAAGGTAAGCCTGGTCTTAGTATTGATATTTCTAGGCTCTCACTAAACTAGGAAACATTGTTTTATCCGGACGCAATTTTTCAGAGTTTACGAACGCGAAAAACATATCATGTGGACTCAAATTTTGTTTCCTGGATGATACAGAGAATTGAATTGAAACCACCATAGGACCTAAATTACTTCAGACACAATGTGCTTTTTACAAAGGAAAAGATTTCTTCCTCCACTCTTCCTAGACAATATTATGCTGCTGCTCACGTTACCCGTAAGAAACATAAACAAGCAAACTTTGGATGGGGGAGGGGTGGGGGAAGTTTTGTTTTTCGGCGAATACCTAATTAAACTACAGCTTCCTAACAAATTTTACGCTAATTCTAGGCAGAAACAAAATTGCTTATCACAGGGAGATTTTCTTCTGAAACACTGTTTCCTCAAAAGCGTTTTCTAGCTTGACCTATTTAACGGTTATTGCTCTTGTTTCTACAGAAACAAGTGTCTTTGGGCGAAATGATGGTGTCGCTTGGCTATCTTAAGTCTGCAGAGAGGCTAACTGTTGTCGTCATCAAGGCTCGGAATCTACCGTCAGTTAATATAAAGGGAACAGGTTAGTATTGTGTGATTGTTATCGAAGACTCCTTATGTTGAGCCGTAGGAAGACACTGCAGCAGACTTCCTTTGTTGGGGACCCCGGTAAGTGCTGCGCGCACACTCTGGCCGAGTGTAACTATGGTTACAATTTTTACTATGATAAAAGAATAAATGATTAGTGATTCCTTGTTCAACTAGTCTACGTAGCGGGCGCTTGGAAGTAATGGGCTCAGAAAAGAACGGGGCGCGCGAGAAAGACACACTAAGAGAGACACCCCTCGCGTGTCTCCCTCGCGCGCCCCGTTCTTTCTTGCGCCCATTCCAAGCACCTGCCACGCAGGCTATGGCTCAACACTAAAGAATGTATTTCTTCTGTCTTAGATTCGTATGTCAAAGTCCACCTACTGGTCGCAGGAAAACGCGCGAAAAAGAAAAAGACGTCGGTCAGGAAAGGGACACTTAATCCTGTATTTAACGAAGCAGTGTCATTTGATATAGCAATGGACGCTTTAAACTCTGTTGATCTGCTATTGTCGGTCATGCATGAAAACGAAATAATTGGCTGTGTTCAAATTGGTGCCCATTCCACTGGCAAGGAGCTGGACCACTGGAGGGAGGTCCGGACTGCTAATAAACCTGTTGCGCACTGGCATTCGCTACAAGATCCCAAAAAATTCTACTAGGGAGGTAGCCTGCGTAGTAAGCGTTTCAGCGCGAGTTCGTTGATGAAGTTGGGACGAGAGCGAAAAAGAGGAATGACGGGGGAGGTGAGGGAAGAAAAGGAAAGTTTCTTCTTTTCCTCTCCCCCTCCCCCTTCTTTTATTATTTTTTACTTTCGCTCCAACTTTTGCGCAATAACTCGATCGGAAAAGCTTGCTACGCAGGCTACTAGGGAGGAGAGTGAACTTGACCTATCCGCATAGTTTGAAGCGATTGGGCCGTTCCTTACATATGTCAGTGGTTCAGTGTCTGTTTTCCCTTGTTTTCGTGTATGAGAATGAACGAAAGAGAATTAAGCAAAGGAAAAGATGAATTTTTTCCAAGAATGAAATTTAACCCAAATGGTGCGTTGATCGCAACTTCAAGGTTCACGCATGTCACAGAGATAGAGTTTTTTTCAAGCAAGGAAACAGTGGAACTTATTACTGGGGAAAGAGCTGTACTTAGATTCCGATCTGACAAACAACAATGCCTCCATGAGTTTCAAATGAGTGTGTGGATCGACCAGAGAGTTTGAAGTGTTCCGGTTATAGAGCTCAACAGTTATTGGAAGCTTCTGGACCAGCTAGAGTTAGCCGACTATTGGTGGAGAATGATTTAAACACACTTATTGGCTGGTATGAAAATCTCAGTAGTGTCAAGGTCGTTGAAACTACAATTGAAACTACAAAATCATTGATCGATGACATCGTCTCTTACGTGCTACCATTCTTGGCCCTAACTAAAAGGGAACGGCTCATGTGTGACTTTAGTTTAGGTCCGGACACAGGGTGAAACATTCCTCGTCGTCCACTAAACAGAACCAGGAACCTCTAGAATTGTTGCGCGCGAAACATTATTGCAGAGTGTGAACGTAGAGTCCCTTTTCGGGGCAGCCAAGTTAGGCGCAGTAAGTTAATCTTGTCCGCCCATCTGTAAAATTTCCGTGCAATTGGGCAGCGCAACTTGCAGTCCTCAACCAATCGAATTATCTGCGAGGAAGCTGTCAATTTGGGAGAGTCGCGAGAAGTCACGGGAGAGCCGCACGCGATAGCAGACGCGAGAAGGCGCGCGACGGGATAAGTTCGCGGCTTCACTGCTCGCTTCGCTTTCCACTTGGCGAGACCTTGCTTGCAGGCTAGCAAGAAGCTAGCATCGTTTGTCGCTGGTCAATTACCTCTGGGCGAATGTTATGCGTAATAATGCACGTAACAATGTACCTAGTCACTCCAGTCAATGGAAACATGTTGATTGGTTACAATTTTACTGGTAATGTTTCTCCGTTCGACTAGTCTTAGTGCAAATCAGTCCATGACTATTGAAACATTTCACCATTAAGAGGTTCAAGAGAATGGTTGGAGAAAGGGTATTCGTGGAAAGCCGTATTTAATTATCAATTCTCTCTTAATTTTAACATAAATAGTTTTAAATTTAAACATTTTAAGGAGGAAATGGAAAAGTTAAAGGGAAAAAATCGAGAACTACTTTTAGTCTAAGTAGATACTACCCAGAACGCAACAGAGTGTTTTTAGACGTTATCAAATCGAATTTCAATTAATGTTTACTCTATTATACAGAATGCTGTTTTCAATACGTTCCTAAAGAATCATTTAAGTATTTTTCAATTTATTTTAAAAGGGACCTTATTAAATTTGTAATAAAATTACACGAAAGGAAAACCACTGCGTTGCTGTACTTATGGTTTTGCGGAGTAATGTCCAGTGGTAACTTAAATTTGCTTTTTATCTGTTACGAGATTAGTTATTACCTTTTTTCTCTGTTAATTATCTTGCCATAACTTCAACTGCTAAATAGATACCCCCGGTAAGTTAAAGTCTGTAAGCCTCAAGTGAATTGGGCTTTTTTCTTTTCATCGAAAAACAACAACAGCAACAATATGCAACCGCGACACAACAACAACAAAGCAAAAAACAAAACAAAAGCAAAAAAACAAACCGTGGAAAAAACAAATACAGCAAAGATTTTCTGGTTTGATGAAATGATTATCTTAGGAATATCAACATTTGCATTTTTTTTCTCAGACCACAAGCCCCTGGGGGGTGAATACTGCCATATATGGGCTACGGTATGTGCCGCTGTGAAGGGTATGGTTTTCAAGCAATTTACTCTGGGATAGGCTCAGAGTAAATCAGAGAGTTTGGGTCTAGAATAGGGTATCATTTCCCAGGAAACTGACCAATTGGTTGTCTAGACTATAGGGAAACCGGGAGTGCCACTTAAATCTGATTTTGCAGGTGCACCGCGGGGGTCACTAAGGGTCTTGCAGCTTGTTATCTCAATCCTATAAACCGATCCGCTGCATCCGCAATTCAAGCTAGCGTCCGGCTGTGTGGTGTGAGATTGGACGTTCAGTTTTACTTCGGTTCTAGGGAAACCAGGAGTGCCACTTAAAAATATAAAAAAACTAAATCGGCAAGTTTAAATTTACGCAACTCAGCCTAAAAGCAAGAGCCATAATGGGACATTATGGCTCTTGCTAAAAGCTACTCTAGGATATGGGGGGGGGGGGGGGGGGGGGGGGGGGGGGTTGTTTTCTGTTTAGGAGGAAAATTTTAACGTAACCAGGTTGGGGGGTGGGAGTCGGAGGGGTGGAGGGTGCGGGCGCACAACCCCCCCCCCAAAATTTTTAACAATCCCCCCACCCCG